GGTGAACTTATGTGATGATGTGTTGAGAGGTGCTGAAGAAAACTGGCACCTATAGAAATACAAAGCAGCCCAGCAACCAGAGTCTGCTTCCTCCAGTGACTTGGGATGGAGACAGAGGAAAGTCATGTAAGGTACTGAGCCCAAGCATGGGAGCGCTCATGAGGAAAGAAGCTTTGTCCCTTCGTGTAAGTGCCAGCGTTTCCTCAACACAGCAGCAGGTGGGACTGGGATTGGGGGTAAAAAGAAGGCAAGCAGTGGTGTTAACCCCATCAGGCATTTCCCTTTTGTTTTGTGGCTTTGTCTGCAGTGCTGATTAGATGAAAAGCTTTCCTGGCTCAATATTGTTTTCCTATGGGCTCAGTGGAGGGATTGGGGGGGGGAGGAGGGGGAAGATGGTGTTTGTTATATTGTTTCTTTTGCTTTTGGTCGTTTTCTTTCCCACTGTGGGGAGATGGGCTTGATCTGCTAGTTTTGGATTTCAGAGGCAGAAGGCAAGACATGACCAGCTGGTGTCTTGAACTGACACAGGTGCAAAGACTGTGGGGGGTGGGGAACCAAGAATAATTACAGGTTTCTGAAGCATCAGGACTTGCCTGAAAAGGGCTCGTTGAGAAACTGCTCTTTATGGAAAATTAATGGTGAAGCTGAAAAACTGTCAGGACTACTATTGTTGTCATGGGGGTAGTTATGCCTTAAAGGGACAGTGCCTCCCTGCTCCTTCTATGGGAAATGAGGAGACAGAACACAGGCCTTCTAATGTTAGAGCAATTGAAATGTCATGTGACTGTCACTGGATTTAATGGCCGTGTGTCTCTGTCTGTCTCTTTTTGCCCTAACCTAGGATTATGCTTTCTCTCCCTCAGGAGCTTTTTATTTATTAAGCCCCAAATCTCTGTTTCTTTCCCAGAGGACAAAGGCTAACTGGACGAGAAGGCCAAAATTAAATGAGCAGGGGGAGCTGAAAAGCTTCATCCTTTTCATGATGGGGGGAGGGGGGATTTTCATAGATCGCCACCTCATTGCAGATCAAAGGGAATGCGTGCTACCTCCTATTTGCACCTTTGAATGTCTCCCCACCAACTCCATTGTGACATCTGTTGTGATGCCCCAGGAGAGATTTGTGATCCCAAGTTGGATCTGTTTTCCTTGCTGTGTCAGGTTCCTTGCTTACATAGAAAAGGACCCTTTTCTTTCCTCAAGAGCAGCCTGCCTTATATCACTGTCTAGCATGGGTAGCCCAGGCACCGTGGCTCGTGTGGTACGCATCCCAGGATGCTACGTGCCATTTTTGGTACCTAAGCAGCAGTGATTGTGGTGTTGCTCATTTGCTGAGACGAGTGAGAGAGTAGGCCTGTGACTGACAGGCTTATAAAGTCATTACTGGCACCCACAACAGTGATATCCGTGGGATCTGTAACTAGTTCAGGAAACAGTTGTTCATCTTACAGCTGATCAGCGCGTTCTCACTAGTGGTGGGCACTGCTGCGGCTGCCTGGGAGTTTTGTTAGCGAGGGAGAGAGAAAGTTTCTAAGCAAATGTTGAGAGAACTTGCCTCCCCCACAAAGCAAATGCACAGCATTCATTTGAAGCAGAGGGTGGGGGTTGTTTCAGGGTATAAAACTTCTCCTACGCTCACACACACTTTCCCTGCTAGGTTAGGCAGCAGTAACATGCAAAGCTGTGACAACTTGCTTGAATGTTTAATGCCGATTCCAGTTGTTTCACCAGCTTCCTCTTCTAAGCAGCAAATGGGGAATGAAATGGGCGGCTGTTCCCAGGGCTGATTTGCATTGTGCAGGAGGAAATGGGAGCTGTTCCAAAACAACTAATGAAAAAGGAAAAAAATACAAATAGGCGATTTCTCTCGACTTCCGAAACAGGACTGTCAGCTAGAGAAACATACCAGGAACTTGGACAGGGATCTCAAGTCCTTAACTTTAATTTGTACTGAATTAGCTTTACACTTTTATTCTTGGAATTTGAAAATTACTAAGAGGGGAACAGGGGAAAAAAATAACCTGACAGCTTGGTTTTGGCTTTTACCAGAGGCTTCATTTGAACTACTAACTGAAAAAGAAAAGGATCCTCTGCTGGCTGCAGTCTCTATTTCCTTGTGAAACAGAGCAGTTCTAGTGGTTTCTTCATGAAATAGCAGTTCTAGTGATAATGTAGAAGAGAAAGTGCATATCTGCCCCAAGAATACAATACTGTCTTTTTGTGTACATAGGCTAGGTACAGACATTCAAAAAGCCTGAGGCAGAATCAATCTAAGATACACGGTTTTCTGTAAACGGTGTAGTTTAGATCAGTAGTGAACAGAACACACGTTTTCCCTTTGGTGGAGGGGGAAAATCTTAGACTGGGATCTGCCATTTTTAAACCAGTCTGTATCAAGCGTCTATTCTGTTATGGGTATAGACTGTTATCCAATCACTTATACCAATAAGAAGTGTAATGTCTGTACCTGGCCATAGGGAGGAAAGGTAGGACTGGCAGCATAGGACATGAGAAACTGGCTTTCAAATCCCTGTTCTGCCACAGACTTCAGCAGTGATGTCAAACAAGTCATTTATCCTGTGTCCTACTTTTCCTTGTGATGAAGAGTAACAGTGCTTTCCTGCCTAGTGGAGCACTTGTGAGAAAAAAACCATTGAAGCATTCAGGTGCTAGTATAATAGAGGTTATATGAATTGATAGAAACATAATGGGGATTAGCTCTTGTTTCAATATCTGGAGTACCTTTACCACTGTGTACCCTTGTGTCATGTCCAGATGTGCATAGACATTTGTTTCCCTGGGGACAACTAGTACTGGCACAGCTTCTGCCACTGCTGGTCGTCCCTGGGGAATGCCTATACCACGTGTCCTGTGGCACATGGCAAGTTACCTCGGATGGGGTAGGAGAGGCTGGCCCCAGCAGCCTTACCTGAGGTCTTGGGGGCTTCCTGGGGCTGCAGCAGCAGCAATCCTGCTGCATGGAGCCTGGCTGGCAGTGGAGTATGCCTGGCTGGCAGGCTCTGGCTTGGGGTGGCACATGCTGCCGCTGTGTGCAACACTCCACATTTTTCCTAGATATCCAAGAGCCAAAAAACCCCTCCACACTGCTCCCTTGCACTGTGGAGAACAACTGATTGTGCAGTATGTGGTGCTGCAGACATCTGCATTTGTCTGGACACAGCCTTGGTGAAGATAAGGAAACCCAGGGGTTGTTGAATTGATACTCATCCTGACAGAGCAGGCCCAAGTGAGTTTTATGAATAACATTGTTTTGCTGTTCCCACAATACCCCATGGTAACCAAGTCAGTATAAATGAAGTGGTCTCTGAGCCATGTTTAAAGTGCCAGGGGTCAGAAGCAGCCTGGAAAGTGCAGCAGTGCGCTTACAGTATCTTCAGTGGGGCAACCAGAATCAGTACATTTTTAAAAATCTTGGCCTTCTTGCTGGGGGGAGGCCAAAGAATAAGAAAGTCATCTCTAAAGTGCTTTCCAAAATCAATTACTCAGTGGTGGATTAGGATGCAACAACTTCATCGGACTGTTGGGAAACCGAAGTAGGGAAAATATAAGTGACTTGCTCAAGACTAAGGTAATCAATGTTGGAACTAATATGGGTTTGATCTGCTGAGCTCCTAGCTTCAGGCTTGGCATGGATAGACATGTAATATATAAAATTACGTACCTGAAAATGGTATCTTTGAGGTAAACTGCTGTGCTGCTCTCAGTTTCATTTATCACTGCCTTGTCTGTGCTCTACCATGGACTCTATCTCCATGCTGTCATTCCAGAGGAAGGAGCAAATTCGAACACTTATCACTAAAAAAAAGAAAAACAATTAAATTCATTGCTTGCAAAATGTTTCCTTCTGTCCCTAAACATAAAATTACTCCCACAAGATTACGCAAGGCAAAGACAATACTCAATCCTACATCAGTGATGAGCTTAAAGGAATTCTCGACACCTTCCAAACCTATGAATGGGAGTCATTTATACACCTGCTGATGAAACCTGTATACTCTATTCCTGATAGTATAGGTGTTTGTTTCCAGCCAGAGTGTTGGGAGGTATTGGAATTTCAGGTTGAGATTTAACTGGGCATTGAAATCCCACCAGCTGCTTTGAAAATCAGACTAAAATGTGAATCTTATTATCTATTGAAATGCTGTCTTGAGGGTAACTTTCAGGGGTTCTTAAAACATATTTGTTAGAACTTTTGTCTCCCTTCAAGTCCTATTGGATTACAGTCATCTTGCCAAATCAGCCACGCTTTTCAGATAGCAGGGTATGAAAAATGGAGTTTTGAAACCCCCCCCCCCAACTATTTCTAACTGTTTTCTGTAAATACTAATGATGTGGGTTACGGAAAATAGTTGAAGATATGCTGCCACAAAGTTTAATTGACTTGTTGAGGATGGCTTACATCAACCTACATGTAAGTAATGTGGTTCATCCCACGCTAATGCTAATGCTAATGCAAATGAAACTTTTATGATAGAGAGGGGATAGTAGTTTTTGTGTTGCAGAAACTTATTCCAGATCTGTGTAAATAACATGTGCATGTAGGTCAAGTATCTGGCCTACAGAGTCCCATGCCCACAGTGTCATAAAAAACTCTAAAATGACGACATTTTCCATTCTCGTAGGCCTTTTCAGGTTCCAGTAGAAGTAACTGGTTATCTGGAAATGTCTGTTTTTAGCCCTAAAGAGCTTCATCAAAATTGTGCCATTTTTAAGTGTAAACTGAGCCCCTGCCAACCTGTGCTTTGGATTCAGGTGATCTTGAAATTAAATTCCTTGTATTGGAAAAGTTTATGCCCAGTGACTAATTGCTTTACAGGAGAAGATCCATTTCAGTACCTTCTCTATAAATGTTTTGTGTGTACCAGGATTATTTTTGAACTGTTCTGGACACAGATTACTGTGCTGGTTCCCCAGCCCTAGGCAGTGGTTAATCCCACAATTGGTTTCTGATGTTGGTTTCTTTCCTTCCCCACCTTCTGCAGACATGCCTCGAATTGGAACGTTATCTTCAGACAGAGCCAAGGAAGATCTCAGAGAGCTTTGGTGAGGATTTGGACTGTTTTCTTCATGCTGCCTCCGTTCCAGATACAGAGGACAGTATCCGACGGCTGGACCCCATTCTGTTACCTGTGGAGACGAGTACATGTGACAAAAGCACCAACATGGACATTATTCTTTCACGGGACAAACTGCTATCTGAGACGTGCCTCAGCCTGCAGCCCACCAGCTCTTCTATAGAGGGCTACACCACCGTCAACCAGGCCCAACTCAACGCAGTGACCTCATTAACACCCCCTTCCTCTCCTGAGCTCAGCCGCCATTTGGTAAAAACCTCACAAACTCTCTCAGCAGTGGATGGCACAGTAACATTAAAACTGGTGGCAAAGAAGGCTTCGCTGAGTTCAGTGAAGGTGGGAGTGGCAACAGCAACAGCGGGCACAGTAAAGAGTGGGCAGAGCGACAGTGAACAAGGAGGGGCAGGGGGTGAGGCATCCCCAGAAAATAAGAAGAGGGTTCATCGCTGTCAGTTTAATGGGTGCCGGAAGGTTTATACAAAGAGCTCCCATTTAAAGGCTCACCAGAGGACTCACACAGGTACTTGTGTAGGGTGATTCTCTCTTCTTGTCCCCCTACTGCCTAGCTATAACCATATCATTTATTTTTTATTTAAAGGCTTCCACTTCTCAGAGTTGATGCTACTAGCTATGAAACGATGGTGTAAGTGATGGAAAAAAAGTGGGTCAGTTTCTGTGCTCTTGTTTCAAGGGAAGGGGGAATTAACTATCTACAATCAACCTGTTGTTTCATGCGCTATCAAGATCTTTTGGTTCACAATCTGTTTGGGCTACCTTAGGGACTTGGATACCCAATTCCTATTAAAATATCATCATTAAAATACAACATTTGGCTTCACAATTCCTAAAGGGAGCTTTGAAAAATTTTAATTTTAGTCGAGTCTTAATTGCTTGAAACAGAAACTTCTGTCAGTAAATTTTATGTTCTTGTTTGAAGTAAAAAGATTTATTCCAAATCTGAACTATGTGGTTTGGGAGTAGAGAGAGAGAGAGAGAGAGAGAGAGAGAG